CAAGCTTATTTTGCGAAGAGATAGATGAGAGATAGATAAATAATATTACACAGACGAAACAACTATAATAAATGACAAATAATAATATGATGATATGGTGATGATGGTGATAATTTAATGACGATGATGATAATTAATGATGATGATAATAATAAAATGATGATGACGATAATAATAATAATAGTAATGAAAACAATAGTAATTGTAATAGTATTAATAATAATAATAATAATAATAATTTAATAATAATAATAATAATAATAAATATAATAATAATAATAATAATAATAAAATAATAATTAATAATAATAATTAATAATAATAATAATAATAATGATAATGATGATCATGATAATAATAATAAATAATAATAATTATCCACATCCATAACTAACGCTGGGGAGAGGGAGCATGTATGCTAGTCGGTCACACACAACACAAACACCCAATCACACACAACACACACACACACACACACACACACACACACACACACACACACACACCACACACACACACACACACACACACACACCACACACACACACACCACACACACACACACACAAACAACCAACCAACACTTACCATACACAATTTTTAAGCGATTGCGAAAAAAAGGTTCTCCTATTTTTCATATACTTAACAGCTGAATAATGAATATTAATCACACACACACACACACACACACACACACACACACACACACACACACACACACACACACACACACACACACACACACACACACACACACACACACACACACACACACACACACACACACACACCAACCAACCAACCAACACTTACCATACACAATTTTTCAGCGATTGCGAAAAAAAAAGTTTCTCCTATTTTTCATATACTTAACAGCTGAATAATGAATATAATCACACCCCCACACACACACACAACACCCACCCACACACACACCACACACCCACACAACCAACCAACCAACACTTACCATACCACAATTTTTCAGCGATTGCGAAAAAAAAGTAATTTTTCATATACTTAACAGCTGAATAATGAATATTAATCGAATTCCAACGCCCCGGACGCAACCCTTTCACACTTACTGACACCTGCCAAGGACCATACAGCCCCCGGCGCGTGACCCTTGCTATCAGCTGTGACAAGCGGGTCCTGCCGCGCTCGAACGGGGGGGTTGGCATAGCGCAGTGCCAGGTATTATTAGCAGTCAAGTTCCCGCATGACAAAAAAAAAAAAAAAAAAAAATGACGGCGTGGCGTGTAAGAATGTGTGATCGTTTTTTTTTTTTTTCTTTTCTTTTTCTTCTTTTTCGTTTTTTTAAGATCATGGTTAAATGTCTTGTCCCATATTTCGCCGTTCCTTATTCGTAAAAAAAAAAAAATGTATCTTGAATTCTCCCTGACGTGCAAGGAGAGAGAGAGAGAGGTCAATGGCACCAACACATTCTTCCTCCCCTTCCCTCCTCCCTCCTCTCTCCCTCCTAAAGAATCCCTCTCTTCCCCCACCTTCACCCCTCTTTCCCTTCCCTTTCCTCCTCCCTCTCTCCCTCCCTCCCTTCCTCCTCCCCTTCTCTTCCTTCCCCCTCCCCCCTCCTCTCCTCCTTCTTTCCTTCCCCCTCCCTTCTTCCCTTTCCCTCCCTCCCCTCCCCACCCTTCCCCCCCTTCCTCCCCCCACCCGAAAAACCCTGAAAGGAAGCCCAGAGTCGGCGGGGCTTCTTCCTCTGCGCATCTCACCTGGGTTCCACGGGCGGGCGGCGGGCGGGCGGGCGCGCGTGCACACCCACCCTTGGGAGATGTCACTTGCCTTTCACTCCACTCTCTTAAACCTGACACCGCATTCAGCCCATGCAGATGACCCCGGGCGCGCTATGCTAAGGCCGGCGGTGCTCGTATTTAGATAAAAATTGGGCGCGCGTGAGTGGCAGGGTTTATTTTTTATTATTATTTTTATTTATTTTTTATTTTTTATTATTTTTTTTGTAAATCTTTTTTTATTATTATTATTTTTTATCTTTTGGACTCGTTTATCCACTGTTTCTCCTTCTCTCTCAACTCTTTTCTCCCCTTCTTCTTTTTCTCTTTTTCCTTCTCCTTGTCCTCTCTCTCAATCTCCCCTCCCTCCCCTATCCCTCTCCCTCCCCCTCCCTTCCCTTCTCTCTCTCCTCCCATTCTCCCTCCCTCCCCTCCTCCTCCCCTTCCTTCTCCCCTCTTTCTTCCTCTCCCTCTCCTTCTCCCTCTCTACTGATGTCAAAAAATCAAGATAACAATGACTTTTCCAGCTACCAAAAGCGCCCCAAAAAACGCGCTTGAGGATTTTCAGCCTTATCAACCAGTCCCAGAATAGATGCACATGAAAAAAAAACACAACAAAGACGATCAACAGTAAAAAAAAAACATAAAGAATAAAAATATAGAAGAAGAGAGAGAGAGAGAGAGAGAGAGAGAGAGAGAGAGAGAGAGAGAGAGAGAGAGAGAGAGAGAGAGAGAGAGAGAGAGAGAGAGAGAGAGAGAGAGAGAGAAGAGAGAGAGAGAGAGAGAGAGAGAGAGAGAGAGAAGAGAGAGAGAGAGAGAGAGAGAGAGAGAGAGAGAGAGAGAGAGAGAGAGAGAGAGAGAAGAGAGAGAAGAGAGAGAAGAAGAGAGAAGAGAGAGAGAGAGAGAGAAGAGAGAGAGAAGAGCAGAGAGAGAGAGAGAGAGAGAGAGAAGAGAGAGAGAGAGAGAGAGAGGAGAGAAGAAGAAGACGAGAGAAAAAACAAGAAGAAGAAAGAGAAAAAAAAAACTTGCTGAGAGTAAGAAGCACCACAATCTTGGTACAGGAAGTAGTCAAGGAACACACTGTGCTAATCCCGAGAGTTCCTCTTCAGCAAAATCTGAAAATGAGGAAGAAAGAAAAAAAGAAAACACTCTTGTCCTGCTGTCTCTGTCTCATTGTCTCTGTCTCTTGTCTCTGGTCTCTGTCTCTGTCTCTGTCTCTGTCTCTCTGTCTCTGTCTCTGTCTCTGTCTCTGTTCTGTTCTGTCTCTGTCTCTGCTCTGTCTTGTCTCTGTCTCTGTCTCTGTCTCTGTCTCTGTTCTCTGTCCCTCTGTCTCTGTCCTCTGTTCTCTCTCTCTCTCGTCTCTCCTCTCTCTCTATATATATATATATATATAATATATATATAATTATATTATATATATACATATATATACATATCTTGCTTTTTCGCTTCCCCACATCTTCATCTCTCCTTCCTCCCTCCCTCCATCCCTCCCTCTTCTCCCTCCCTCCCTCCCTTCCTTCCTCCTTTCTTCGCCTGAGTAATGTATGTCCACAGCAGAGACGTCTCTTAAGACAACCGTACTTATCATGCGTATGACACAAGGGAGTGACTCGTACCATACTAAAATATACTGACAACACACACGGGAAGAATTCCTGCCTGCCTTTTCTCTTTAGCGTAATATGTGGCACACATCCCTTTCGTGAAGTTAGACTGGTACCCCACCTTTTCTTTACTTTTCTCTACTTCCTTCTAACTCCTACTCCTCTTCCTTCCTCCTCATTCCCTCCCACTCTCCTCTGCCCACCCTCCTTCCTCTCTCCTCCTCCCTCTCCCCCTTACCCTTCCCTCCTTCCCTCCCTCTCCCTATCCTACCCCCTTCCTTCCCACCTCAACCCCCAACATTAATTCCACGTGAATGCATTTCCTTATTACTGAAGCCTATATCAATCACCCAAAACCCCACGGCCTTTCACCTTTAACAAACGCCAGGTGACGCACCGAACCGCAAGCAAGGGCTCAAGCCAGACCTTATTTTGACACGAAATCACCCCCAAAAAAAAAAAAAAGACGAGATGGCAACCCACACATCTCTTAAAGGGATAAAAATGACTCGACTTTGCCGTTCGAGCATACGCAAGCCAGGTCAACCTCAGATCAAGCCCAGCAAGCCATGAGACACACACACACACACAAAAAAAAAAAAAACTCCCCAAACTGAAAAAAAAAACAAGAAAAAGAGAAATAACAAATCATAAGAAAACGAAAGAGAGAAGAATACACACACACACACAAAACCCTCCCCAAGCTGGAAAAAAAACAAGAAAAAGAGAAATAACAAATCATAAGAAAACGAAAGAGAGAAGAAAACACACACACACAAAACCTCCCAAGCTGGAAAAAACAGAAAAAAGAAATAACAAAATCATAAGACAACGAAAGAAGAAGAATACACACACACACAAAACCCTCCAAGCTTGAAAAAAAAAAGAAAAAAAGAGAAATAACAAATCAAAAAGAGAACGAAAAGAGACAGAAGAGAAAAAGCAGACCCCGAGAAAGGGTACTACTAAGTGCTGCAAACGACAAGAAAAAGAGAATAACAAATCAAAAGAGAAATCGAAAGAGAGAGAAGAGAAAAATAGACCCCGAGAAGGGTATAAAGCAGCAAGAAAGAAAAAGAGAAATAAAAATCAAAAGAGAACGAAAGAGACAGAAGAGAAAAAGCAGACCCCGAGAAAGGGTACTACTAAGTGCAAACGAACAAGAAAAAGAGAAATAACAAATCAAAAGAAAAAGAAAGAGAGAGAAGAGAAAAAAGCAGACCCCGAGAAAGGGTACTAAGTGCTGCAAGACGACAAGAAAAAGAGAAATAAAAATAAAAAAAACGAAAGAAGAGAAGTAAAAAAAAACATACCCCGAGAAAGGGTACTACTAAGTGCGCAAACGACAAGAAAAAGAGAAATAAATAAAAAAAAAAAAACGAAAGAGAGAGAAGAGAAAAAAAGCAGACCCGAGAAAGGTACTAAATGCTTGCAGAACGACAGGAAAAAAGAGAAATAACAAATCAAAAGAGAAACGAAAGAGAGAGAAGAGAAAAAGCAGACCCCGAGAAAGGGTAATAAAGTGCTGGCAAACGACAAGAAAAAAGAGAAATAAAAAAATAAATAGAAACGAAAGAGACAGAAGAGAAAAACAGACCCCGAGAAAGGGTACTACTAAGTGCTGCAAACGACCGAAACTTACCGGTTGCTCTGAAGCTTAGATTTTGACCGTGATCGCTTCGAAGATTTGGAGTAACTGTAATGATCTGGGATGGGCAGCGTCGATGCGTAGCCATGTTCCATTTCTGCGGGAGAAACAGGACACATTTCTTAAAAAAAAAAAAAAAAAAAAAAAAAAAAAAAAAAAAAATACTGAGCTTTGTCAAGAAAGGAAATATAGATATCAGATGAGAGAGAATTATATACAGAATTATTTTTTTATTACGTTATTCAAAAGAGAGAATTATTTCATTTTTTTTACGTTATTCAAAAGAGAGAATTATTTCTTTATTTTTACGTTATTCAAAAGAAGAGTAAGTTTATAGCAGTATATCAGATGGGCCCCTTTTGCTACCACGGACCCTCACAGCCTTCTGTTTCAGTGCACCATATCACCATATCAATCAAACAAAAAAATCATTACCCCGCTTATGATAATGCTAACGGTCGCAGTAAATAATAATAATAATAAAATGATAATATAATAATAATAATAATAATAATAATAACAATAATAATAATGATGATAATATCAATAATGTACACAATAACAATAATAAAAATAATAACAAAAATACTTAATAACAATAATAAACTTAAAATAATAACAATAATACTTAATAACAGTAATAAACCTAACAATCATCATAATTATCGCCATGCAAATAAATCCCAAAGCCCTTTCACAAAGCCTACAGGACAACACCACCGTAAAAAAAATTACTCAACGACTCTATTCATGAAAATTATTCCACATTCCACCTCTCTCCCTCATTCCTCCTCCTCGCCATAAAAGTGTCAAAAGGAAGATTTGTTCTGCATTTAGAAGCAGCGAAGAGGGGAAGGAAGGGAGAGAAAAAAATAAAAACATCGTGATGATTTTATTACTCGAAACGGCCCTGTTCCCCCCACCCCCAACCCCCCCACCCTGACGAGACCTTCTTATAAACCCCTTACCTTCCTCAACATTCCTCTCTACCCTCCCCCAATGTCTCTCCCTCTATTTCAATCTCACACGGCGTTATTTCGGCCATTCTAAAAAAAAAAAAAAAAAAATCGAATATTTTCCCCTCGAAAAAAAAAGAAAAAAAAAAATGCCCCGAGTTTTTGAGACGCCAATAACCCCGAAGAGCGTTACATTAACAAGGCAATCGATACGGCCCCCCTTTCCCCACCCCCTTTGCCCCTCCCCCCTTTCCCACCCCCTTCCCCTCCCCCCTAAAGCTACTTTCGGTCGTTCCTCAACCCGACCGACCTACATTGGCTCGTGTGTGTGTGGGTCTATATAGGTCTCTCGCGTCTCGTATCTCCTCTTCTCTCTCTCTCTTTCTCAGTCTCTCTGCCTGTCTGTCTGACTATCTGTGCCTATGTCTATACCTGTGTCTGTGTCTGTCTGTCTCTCTCTCCCCGCCTCTCTTTCTCTCTTTCTCTCCTCTCTCTCTCTCTCTCTCTCTCCTTCTCTTCTCTCTCTCTCCTCTCTCTCTCACCTCTCCTCTCTCTCTATATAATATAATTATAATATATATATATTATTCGCCCCCCCCCCCTCTCTCCTCTCTCTCTCTCGCCTCCCTCTCTATCTCTCTTCTTAGCCCCGTCTCTTTCCTCTCTCTCTCGCCCCGTCTCTCTCTCCTCTCTCTCTCTCTCCCTCCTCTCTCTCTCTCTCTCTCTCCTCTCTCTCTCTCTCTCTCCTCTCACGCCCCGCCTCCTCTCTATCTATCTATCTCTCTCGCCCCTCTCTCTCTCTCTCCCGTCTCTCTCTCCTCGTCTCTCCCTCCTCTATCTCTCTTCCCCGTCTCTCTCTCCTCTTCCTCTCTCTCTCTCTCTCCTCTCTTCTCTCTCTTCTCTCTCTCTCTCTCCTCTCTCTCTCTCTCTTCCTCTCTCTCTCTCGCCCCGTCTCTCTCTCTCTCTCTCTCTCTCTCTCTCTCTCTCTCTCTCTCTCTCTCTTCTCTCTTCTCTCTCTCTCTCTCTCTCTCTCTCTCTCTCTCTCTCTCTCTCCTCTCGTCTCTCTCTCTCTCTCTCTCTCTCGCCCCGTATCTCTCTCTCTCTCTCCACTCTCTTTCTCCCCTTCTCTCTCGCAATCTCCCCCTCACACTCTCTACCCCTTCTCTATCTCTCTACCTCCTTTCTCTCTCCCAACCCCTCGCTCTCCCTCTCCTTCTCCCTCTCCCTCTCCCTCTCTTTTAATAATAAATCCAACTGTTTATGGTGTATATCTGGGTATCACTGCATCTCGACTCCTGAAAAACGAGACACCTGGACTAATTTTGCGTAAAACACGTCACACAGATATCATAATTCACTGCTGTGTCTGCTCCATACGAAATTGGAATGGTAATGTTTTAAATTTGTGGTTGAAAATGGCAAGGATGTTTATTTTTTTTTTACAGTTCAGCTGGGCGTGAAAGTGAGATTGGACAGAAAAGCCATATACTGTACACGCGCGCGCACACACACACACGCACACGCGCACCACACACACACCACACACACACACACACACACACACACACACACGCAACACACACAGGTATGTATGCATGTATGTACACATTACCATCATTAGCAGTTTATTCTCACAATAATAGTAAAACTAACTCTCCTAAAATATAATACCAAAGACGACACCGATGCTAATGACGGCGATGATAATTACCAACGACGACAAAAAACAATAACAACACGACAAACAAACAACAACAAAAGCAACGCACAGCGACAACAACAACCCCGACATATGACCCGCCGCACTTTAGGACCCCGATAACAACACCAAATAAAAACTACAGCGTCATCGTGACACTTCAGATTTCAACACTTGTACAGTCTTCCCTTCCGCCACCACATGCATTATGTTTGCAGGATACCAGAGAGGGGGGAGGGGGGGGGAGGAGGAGGAAAGGGAGGGAGGAGGGAGGGGGAGGAAAGGAGGGGGAGGGAAAGAGGAGGGAGGGGGAGAGGAGGAAGGAAAGAGGGGGGGAGGGGGAGAGGAAGGAAAGAGGGGGGAGGAGGAAAGGGAGGCGGTGTAAGGGACTGAGGCAGGCGGGAGGGAGGAAAGAAGTGGGACAGGGAGGAATAAAGAGAAGAGGAAGAAGGGGAGAGGGAGGACAGGAGAGCATGGGGTAAACAGATAGAGAGAGGAGAGAGAGAGAGGAGAGAGAGAGAGAAGAGAGAGAGAGAGAGAGAGAGAGAGAGAGAGAGAGAGAGAGAGAAGAGGAGAGAGAGAGAGAGAGGAGAGGAGAGAGAGAGAGAGAGAGAGAGAAGGAGAGGAGGAGAGGAGGAGGAGAGGAGAGGAGAGAGAGGGAGAGGAGAAGAGAGAGAGGAGGGAGAGGAGAGAGAGAGGAGAGGAGAGGAGAGGAGAGGAGAGGAGAGGAGAGGAGAGAGGAGAGGAGAGGAGAGGAGAGAGAGGAGATGAGAAGAGAAGGAGAGAAGAGAGAGAGAAAGGGGAACAGTAAAGAGAGAGAAATGGAAACAAATACAGAAAACGAAAAAAAAATAAACAAGAACGAAAAAAGAAAGAAAAAAAAAGGCAAGAGAGACAGACCAAAGAAAGAATAAAGACAGACGAACTGACAAATATGAAAGGGACCACGAAGACCCAGAGCGCGTGAACCCATCCATCCACCCACCTCCCCTCCACCCCCACCCCCACCCTCCACGCCCACTTAACTTACGCCCGGAACACAACCTACTGCACACCTGGCGTTCTCCTTGGTAATTAAGAGGTAATCACACATTCCCCGTTCATGGAAATTGCCATACTTAGACGGTTATGAATATTGGGAGCAAAAAAAAAAAAAAAAAAAAAAAAAAAAAAAAAAAAATCTTAATAACTAGGTTTATTAATTATAAACAAAGAGGGAAATTATTTCATTGAGTTATTAATCGATAAGCAGCGATGACAATAATTTTATAACGGTTGTGATAACGGCTCACCTCATGTAATTACAGATCATTATAATCATCATTATTATTAACCGGGTGTTATATCAATCACCATCACTATCATTTTTATTGTCATTGTTATCATTATACCATAGTTATCCTTTCCAGTCTGTTTTGTTTCTGATGTCATCATAGGTACAATTATCAAAATATAATCATTTTCGTAGCTAAATTGCATATTTTTCTAAATCTGTTTTGTTTCTGATTTTTATCATTGCTACAACCATAAAAAAATAACAAAAATATAATCATTTTCGTAGCTAAATTGCATTCCTATTATTTTCATTAATATCCATTATGATTAATACTTATTAATATCTTACATTTCTTGTATTACTATTACCTTTTATAATATCAGTAGTATTCAGTTGTTATTACTATCATCATTAATATTATCATTTTAAGCATTACTAATATTTTCATCATCGTTAGCATACTCATTAATATCATCATTATAATTATTACCCTTATCATCATTCTTACCACTACAGTCATAAATATCATTATTGCCATTACCGTAATCACAAACATAATAATCACTTTTATCACCCCTATTACTACTCCCAATACCAATCTACCTGTTATCTTATTCCCATTACTCTCATCACCATCATTGCAACCATCACCATCATCAACACCATCATTATCCTCATCATCTCTTTTCACCATCACCATCATCAGCAACATTCTTAATACCACTTGAGAGATACCTGTTGTACCTGACAGCCTCAATAAAGACAAAAACACTTAAATAAAATCAACGTTATGGTATGACCCTTATCTTGAGGCCTCCTTCACACCACCTAGGCCTACGAAGATACCTGATCTCTGGATCCGGTGATTATGTCATTAATAAACATCATACTTAGATGAATTTATCAATGATTAATACTAAAGGGGGTTATTCATATTAAGACCGCCAATGCATGGGAAAATGGTAATGATGACAATGGTGATGGTAGTGATAGTGATGATGGTGGTAACGATAAAGATGATGATGATAACAATGATAAACTAATAATAAATAAATAAATAAATAAATAATAATAATAACAACAGCAATAAAACATCATTACTATTATAGCTTCCATTATCATCATTACCATTATTGTTGTTGCTGTTTATTGTTATTAATATTGTTTTAATCAATATTTCAACTATAATCATTATCATTATCATTACTGTTTTCACTACTAATTATCATAATCATAATTTCATATCGTTCATTATCATTATTATTATATCATTATCGCTACCATTAATCTCATTATCACTCATCATTATCATCATTATTAATATTATTATTATGAATATATATGGTGATGATCATGATGATGATAAAGATGAGGACTAGGTGGATGAAGATAATGGTAATCATGATGGTGATGGTGATTGATGATGATGATTGATGATGATGGATGATGGTGGTTGTGTTGTTGTTGTTGATTGTGATGGTGGTGGTTGTGGATTGGTTGATATGATTGATGATTGATGATGATGATGATGATGATTATGATGAAATAATATTGAAAGTAATGATGATGGTGATAGTAGTGGCGGTGATAGTAGTGATGATTATGATAATACTGGTGTTGTTGGTGGTGGTGGTGGGGGTGGGATGGTGGGTAGTGGTGGTGTTAGTGATAGTGGTGGGGTGGGGTGGGTGGGGGGGGGTGGGGGTGGGGGGGTGTGGTTGTGGTTGTGCTGGTGATGATAATGAAGATGATGATGATGATGATACTGCTGCTAATGATGACAATATTTATATCAATGATAGTAATAGTGATATCACCACCATCATAATGAGAGTACATTAACAAAAAAAAAACATGAAAACACCATTGATAATACTCTTGCAATTAATTATCACTTATCTCGCTGACATTAAAATCCACATTATCCCTACTGCTAAAGACATCACCATAATTACTATAACTGTAAACCAATCTTAATTATCAAAGCACTTTCACAACAGATTTCACAACATCATCATCATCATAAATTCACCATTTTCACTATCACTCATACTAGTTCACTATTCAGAATGGACAAGGACAAACACAAAATAACTACTGTTAAAACTGAACTAAGAAACATACATACAACACGTACATAAACATACATACGTTAATACAAACATACATACATACACATACATGCGTACATAGAATCATACACACGTGCATAGAAACATAAATAGAAAGATACATATATACATAGAATCATACACACGTACATAGAAAGATACATCCATACGTAGAAACATGCATGCATACATACAATCATACATACATACTTAGAAACATACATAGACTGATACAGTACTATCAGTCTGGTCACCAATGCTATCACTATTATTGTCATTATCACTGTTATTATTACGGAAGCCAGTTGTATATACTTGCCATCCTTATCATGACAGTCGGTTTCAGTCACAGCATGAAAAAATATTCGCTTAATATACGTGAGAATAAACGCATTTTTCACGTCAAAAATATCTATATATACAGTATGTAGGGCTGTGTTTGTATGTAAGAATGTATGTACGTATGAATGTATGCATATATGCTTATTTGAAGGCCTATGCATCTATGTTTGTATGCACGCATCTATATGCTTCTCTAAAGGCCAACATATGTATGTATGTGATAAAACAATCATACAGGACACGAAAACAATAATACACTTTATCAAATAAATAAACAAACTAATCATAAACAAATCCACATTCCTAACTTTTCAGATCGCAATTCCATCAAAGACAAATTCATTCTCTACATAACGGTAACATATATGAAATTTCCCCCCATTTTAGAACTTGTAAATTCAACACTGATGCTGATTTCTACTAGATTTCTTTTTTTTAATCTCTCTCTCTCTCTTAAGTCATTAGCACTTTACTGTTTTATTTTGAATTATCATTTGCTTTCCACACTGAACACTAACTTGACGAACGGTGATAATAACAACTTTTTTCCCCCCTTATACTTTCCGTCTTGAAGAAAATATACGTAGAACACTCCTGATTCTTTACCACGAACTACAAATGCGAAATCATATTCATACGATTTTTATTTCTTTTCTCTTTCGCGTGAGAGAGAGACAACTCTACTGATAGGCCTACGACATCGACTAAACGTGGGCGTGAGAAGAGAATCGAGGAATCAAGTGGTCTTAATTTGGTGGCACTTAAGAGAGAAGAGAGGGAATCGAGGAATCAAGTGGTCTGAGTTTGGTGGCACTTAGTGAGAGCGGATGTCAGTGCCACAGAGCCACGTATCACTGAAGTTGCCCCATCCTGCTCGCCTGTTTCCTTTGCTGTTCAGCCAGAAACAGCTGTGATTCTTGCGCTGCTGCTCTCTAACAGCTTGGTGTTTACGGCTGTGAAGGCTGTGTCAGGGTGTTTAAGGGGCCTAGTGGAACATGCCAGACATTAAAATCGATGTCAAGAGCCTTTTCCTCTACCAAAGACGAAAAAGACCCGATATCCGTACCAAAGCCTGTCTCCTTACCCCTCTCCCGCCGCTCGATATATTCG